GTGAAACCTGATTGATGATGGAACTGAATTTTGCCAAATAATAGCACGACTTTCATCATCGGCTATTATTCGAATCGGTACCATTGTTGTACTGACCAACGTTGAATCGCTAGCTTCCAGAGATTGAAATAATTGCTTATATTCGGAATGTCCGGAACTACCGTCAAAGCCCCACTTATAAAAAACTAAACATTTTTTCGGTATACGATCCGTTTGTATAGTTAAAAATAGCCGTGATATTGTATGGTCAACAAGGCTCTGTAAATCGATAACAGCTTCCAATTCTGTTATTTTTATATTTTCAGGGTAGCATTGTTTTTTGGCTTCAATAATATTATGCCCGTAATTAGGATATAAATTTACTTCTAAAATAAAATTATATGCTTATATTAAGTACATTTTATAACAACAAATGTATAATTCGAGAAACGATTTATAAAAAATTGTACTTTTATGTTTTGCTGCTGCTGATATTATATTATATTGGCCTTTTGATAATTGCGCATCTGCAATAATAGACAGAGCTTCACTGTTTGTATGTCGAATTACTGGAGGTTTATTTGTACATTCTATATGCTTTAAGCATTTTTGATGTCATTGCTGGCGTTGACTGGAGCTCTTTAAGTAAATTTGAGGCGCCAATGTTACCATTCGCTCTCAAAGACGATGCACATGCAAATAATAACTCATCGGTATCCTTCTTACGCACTTCTGCATGCAGTGCAATTACATAAAACAATACAACATGCAACAGTCATGCAACAGTAAATACACACAAGAGAAAAATTATAAATTAAAATGAATTAGGTACATGCACGTAAAATGTTCGATAAACATTTTTAGATTATGTTTGATTATGTTAGATTATGTTAAAATGAACAAGTAATATATCTAATATACCACTGGTTCTTCGCCTTTTCTGAGATTCACTTAAGGAACCGAACTCTTGAAGTGATCTTTTATCAATTCGAGGCACTTTTATCGCATCTGATATAGGCGTTTTTATTATAGAAACATCAAGCCAATTCTTATACTTTGCCTCAAATCTAATATGGATACGATGACATTCAACCCACTTTTTTTTCCAATTTTTTACAAAATTGGAAATGTCACAATAACCCGGTACTTCGCCCAGATGTTTTCTGACGTAAATATCAACTTCTCGAATTGCTTCCGAACTACTTGTTGAAAGTAAAAAATTTTTGTATAAAAAACGTCTTGTAAAATCAACTGTTTTATCTAAAAAAATTTAACAATACATAACAGCAATCCCTGCATGCTATTTTAAAAAAAATCGACCCCGTAAAAGATGCATACTTCAAAAGATTAATGAACAATGCCATACAAACCTTTACTTTCACCCATGATTTTAAACAGTTGTAACGGTCGTATTTCCGGACGTTTTTCTTAGCGCGGATAGATCGCCGGTGCTGGGTTTCGTTAAATGAAATACGCGGTGTGTATGGTAGAATTGCGTTTATTGAGTGTGTATGAATGAGTGTACAGTGTTAGAGTGCGTAAATGTGTGGACGAGTGTGTGAGCGTGTGCGTGATTATAAAAGCTCGGATATAAAACGCGTGGTTCGCGTAATTAGACCGAATATTAACGCCGATTAATTTCGGCCTCGTTTTCGCACGCCGGCGGGTGTTTACGATCGCGCGAGACGGCGCGCGTTTTTGCGGCGCTTTTTCTGCGGGGAATCCCGAGATTCCGAGAATGCTTCGGTTCTCGGAATCGACGGTGATTTTCGCCGTATTATTTACTTCGCGATTTAAAGTCCGCGTATAAATCGCCGATGCGCTTTAACTCGGCGGCGTTTACGCGTCTATCTCTGGATGCGCTCGCGTAATTGCATACAATGCGAGCGGCGATGTTCGGCGCGTACAATCCCGGTTTTTATTTCGCGAAGGATGGATTGCGCGATGCAGCTGGATCAAGAGCTCTCGATCCGGGGCGGCTCAGAGCTCCACCTTCCGTGACAGTTCAGCTGCAGATGTAGGCGGTTTGCACGTGTGCTTCGGAATCGAGATCACTCGTTCTGAGACGGAGCTCGCTCCACCTTTCGTCCTTAGCGACTTCGTGCGTTTTGAGAGGATTTTTTCGAGAATTGTTCTGTAGCGTACTGCTAAGAGCGGATCGGAAAAATGTGTCTTAAGCCCAAAAATGTGGCCCTTTTTATACTGGCTAATTGCCCGCGTCGGCGCGCGGCGGTATAACCCCTTCCGAACGGGTTTTCGGGAAACGGTACGGTCGGGCCCGTTCGGAGGGATTCGGGTAGGAGCCGAACGCGGGCTTTCGCCGGTCGACGGTTCGGGCCACATCGGCTTTGTTCGGCGGTGCCGAATTTTAATCCGAACGGTTTTCAAAGTTTAAAAAAGGTGGGCGCACCGCGCCCCTGCCTCTGCCCGGCGGGTGTTCTGCCGGGCGGCAGCTTCCGGCGGATGATATGCCGGGAATCGTAACGATGCACCGGGGTGCATCGTTACACAGTTATTACACAAAAGGTTGCAAGAAGTAGCAGTTTAATCTTATATTGATTAATTGTTTAAACTTCATGTAATAATATAAGCTTTAACTCATTATAACCCAACGTAACCCTAAAAAGTTGCACCATTTACAAAAAAATGCAGACTGACTAAATAAGCGTAACAAAATGTTCTATAATAAATAGTTTATACTTGCATGTATATAGTAAAAGTAATGAATTTTTTGCAGAAAAATAAAGTACTTACTATGTTTATTTAGATATATATTTTTCCATTATGTACTTACCAATATGCAATTAAAAAATTGGATCTCACGTATTGAACGATGAGCTTGCACAATCACAGGACCCGATTGAGAAACACAACACGCGCGCAATTCGCATTTGTTAGAAGAAAGGGAGGGACTAAACAGTTGAAACATGCCTATTATTTCTATTCCAGGATATTTCCTGAAGGAGTATTAAATTAATATTATGATGTTTCATGAAAAATTTTTTCATCTCATGCGCGCATTTTAGCCCGATTCGGACCACTGTGCGACGGCGACGAGGGCTGCGGCGAAGGCGGCTGCGGCGGCGGCGGCTGCGATTCCTAAGACGATCAATCCGAATAAGATAATCATACAACTGGGCGTTAAAACTCCCGATAAGCAACAGTCGAAGAGAGGGTAGGAAAAAAAAATAGAGACGGCGAGATGAGCGCCGCGAAACGGAGACTCGTGAACGAGCTGCACGCGCCGGCGAGAAAGAACTTCTCCCGTCGCCGCGTCGCGGTGCGCGGATACGACGATCTGTGGCAAGCGGACGTCGTCGAGATGCGTCCTTACGCCGGACGGAACAGAGGTCACAATTACATACTCACCGTCATCGACGCTCTGAGCAAGTACGCGTGGGCGGTACCGCTCAAGAGAAAGAGCGGCGACGAGGTCGCTCGAGCCCTGTCGAGCGTGACGCGCGCCTCCGGACGTCGCCCGAGAAATCTGCAGACCGACAAAGGAAAGGAGTTCTACAACGCCGAGGTGCGAAGACTCGCGGATAGACACGGCATCAATCACTACTCGACGCATTCCGTGCTGAAAGCGTCCATCGTCGAGCGTTTCAATCGCACGCTCAAGAACTCGATGTGGAAGTACTTCACGCTGAACGGAACGTACAAGTGGCTCGACGCGCTGCCGTGTCTAATATCCGAGTACAACGCTCGCAAGCATCGAACCATCGGGATGCGTCCGATCGACGTGACGCCCGCTCGAGCGTCGAGACTCCTGTCGACGGTGTACAGCCACCCGAAGATCGCCGCTCCGGGAAAATTTCGACCGAACGATCCCGTGCGCGTGAGCAAGTACAAGACGCTGTTCGAGAAAGGATACACGCCGAATTGGACCGCGGAGATCTTCCGCGTAGCCGAGGTGCGAAGGACGAATCCCGCGACGTATCTGCTGAAGGATTCGCGCGGCGAGCCGATAGCCGGCGGATTCTACGAGCACGAGTTGCAGCGAGTCTCCGATCCCGACGTGTATCTCGTGGAGAGAGTGCTGCGCCGGAAGGGCGACGCGGTTCTCGTGAAGTGGCTGGGGATGGACAGGTCGCATAATTCATGGATAGACAAAGCCGACATATTGTGACGAACATACGTATATTTTCGCGCGATATTACATACGAAAAGATACATCGCGCGTATTGTAACGAATATATATATATTTGTAATATTAAAGATAAGAAAATACATCGCGCGCATTGCAACGCGTCGCAACGCGTCGCAACAAACATATATATTGTACAACATTAAAGATAATAAAATACATCACGCATATCTGTAAAAAATACATCGCATAGCGCTTAAGATCTATCCGCGCCTCTCCTCACAGAGGTATCCTGTAGTGCCCCCACGACAGAGTGTCGGTCGAATCCGGCACGACGTAGCGCTTATCGTCGTACGGACTGAGCGCGACCTTCGACTCGCACACGATGTACACCTCGTGTAACTTGGATCTCAGGCACGACTGCTCGCGAGTCATCTCGATCTCGCGTCTCAGGCAGCGCTCGTAATCGTCGAACGTCAGCGTTCTCGCGACGACGCTGCTCCTCACGCCCTTGCTCTTCTTAGTGTCGCCCCTACCCTCGACTCGCAACGCGTACATCTTCGCTCTGAGTCCGACGAACTCGAGCATGAGAGCGCCGTTGTTCTCGTCCTTCATCAGACCGAGAACCTTCTTATTCGCGCGCGGCACTCCGTAGGGATTGTCGACGGCGTAATCGCTCGTGTCGAATCTATCGATGTCGCGCTTCATTCGCTCGTACGCGTCCTCGCACTCTACGCTATAAATGAGGCTGTCCGTGTCGGTGTACAATATCTTACACTTATCGCCGTAGAGCGGCGACATGTATTCGTAGTGAAACGCGTACAGACGAATCTTGGATATATCGAGAATCGACATGCCTACGTAGATCGGTTTGTCGATCTTCGCCTCCAATTTGCGCAATTCCACGGCCATGAGATTCTCCGAGAATACGCTTCTACTGAAAATTCGGCTTGGAGATGAGCGCCTCGGCTCCGAATCGACCGTCCCATCGAGTCGCGAGTCGAACGTCCACGCGATTGCGCACGTTCTCCATGGTCTTGCCGAAGACGGCGTTGTTCATCAACTTGTACAGATTCTTCTCGAAATTGTTACTCGCGTTAGTGCGTAAACGCGTGTTAAGTTCCACGTATCCGCGTAACCACGGCGACTGCGAGAAGCGCAGCGCGCGATGAATCCTAGTCAGACGCAGACCGTGACGAACGCACTGCTGCAGATTGTGATAGTGCGTGACGTATCGGCGCTTATCGTACAGCGTGGCTAGGAGTTTGCTCTGCCGCTTCCCCGGCGGCTTATCGCGCGTGGGACAAAACGGTAGATCGGCGTGGGCGTCGTGCGCGTCGGCCGGATAGTCGAGATCGACCTCGAGAATGTAGCCGACGGTCGAGTCCTCCGTCACGGACATCACGTCGAGACTCTCGAGGTCGTAGACCCACTCGAATCGCTCGTACGGCAACGGCTGACACATCGCCCAACCGTACAGATTGTTGATATCGAGATACATCAGATAGATCGACGGTCGCGACGGATACGCGCTCTTGTTGTTAGCGCGAGCGTATCTGTTGGAGCACTGACTCAGACCGCCGCGTATTCCGCGTTCCACGAACATCATCATATCGATATCGGTGAGCAGCTCGAAACGGACCCCCGTGTATTTAAGCATCGCGTCCCACGTGTATCCCGGCAACGTAAAGTAGTACGCGGGATCTAAACCGTAACTCTCCAAACAAGCGGAGCGAAAATTTTCGAACACGTCCGCGAGCAGAAGAACGTCGGTCTTCAGATAGAGATCGCTGTACTCGCCTAGATTTTCAATGCCGAATCGCTTCCAGACGCGCGTCGCGTGCGCGTAATCGCTCTCCGATACGGTGTCGCCGGTCAGAGAACTGTAGAAGGACTCGCGTGGCGGGAGACGCGTCTCCCGCAATCTTTCGACGCTGTCGACGTACTCGTACGGAAACACGCCCTTGCGCGTGAGAAGCCGGAAGTCGTCGTCCGAGAGATCGCGAAACTCGCCTCGCGCGATCGTCAGTTTGCTCTCGTCGAGATACGACGCCAGCTTATCGAGACCGGCGCCTAAAAACTTGAACGAGTCCACGAATCGTAATGTGACGTATCTGGAACGCGCGACGTTTCCCCCGTCTCCCTCCGCCGCCGCCGCGCTATCTCGAACGGTCTTAGAGAAAGTTATGTACGATTCCTTCGTCACCGGCAACAACTCGACGCTGCCGGGATACGCGTTAGCCACATCCTTGATAATGAAGTGCGCGTCGTAACCCGATAGATTGTGAAAACGGGTATGACATAGGGGTCCTTGTAATTCAAATTACACGCGGAATGCGCCGGACCTCTGAAACGGCCGGTCAAGTGACAGTGATCGCGCACGTGAGCGTCGTCGGCCTCGAACGGTCTCTCGCACGCGTGACAGCGCGACGCGCCCGCGAATATCTCCCGCTCGTCAGACGTCAGATCCGCCATCGGTACCACGGCGTCGAGGGCGACCTTCGCGCGAAGCGCCAGATCGCGCAGCTCGCGCACGAACCACGCGCCGCAATCCTCGCCGCGGTAAGATCCGTACGCCGACGAGGCGTCGTCGAAGGAGCAACGCGTGTAATAGGCCACGCTGTGAACTCTGTGATGCTGAACGATCCGCGTATTCTTGGTTCTCCCGCCCTCGTCCCCCTCTTTCCTCTCCAACGCGCACTCCAGATCGGCGTACACCGCGAACGGAATTCGCTCCTTTCTCGAATGATGCTCGAACTCCAGCCACCTGTCGTCCTCGCCGGGAAGAACGATCGCGCAATCGTTCAGCTCGCCACAATCCTCGCTGTGCGCCGACAGCTTCTCGCTCGTGCGAAAGTAATGCATGCATCTGAAAGAAAATACGAAATAAACGCTAGCTCGATATCTCGTTCTCGCTCGCCGAGATCGAACGCTCACCGATCGCACACGTACGTCCTGTGCTGTCGCTTGCTCAACTGCGAGCCGATCAGACGAGACAGATCTCGAATACAGGCGAAATGTCCGACCGCGTTACCCTCGCGCATCGCATCGCTCAGATACAGCAGATTGACGTGTCTCTCCCTCTTTCGATCCGTCAGACGAAGAGGGACGATGCGAATCCCGCCGTCACCGTCCTTCCCGCGTCGTCTCTCTCCGACGGTGTACACGTTCACCGATATATCGTTCAGACGCTCGAACCGTCCGATTCCGTTCAAAGTCATAGGTAACTTCGAGCCCTCCAGATTCAACACCTCGGAGTAATGCGGAGCTTCTCTCGCAGTGTATCCACGGGATACAGAGCGGCGACCACCGACCACGCGAAACACGCCTCGTCGTCGGATCGCACGTTGACCACCGCTCTCTTCATTTGAATCTCTCGCGGTACTCGCACGTGGCACCCCGCCCGCATAGGATTGTACACGTTCACGTTCACCGTTAGATCGAGTATGCGCGACAGGGCCCATCCGCTGTCGCGCTCTTGAAACTCCTCCAAAGACGCGACGGTATCGCCGACGACGCGAGTATCGTACCACTCGCGCAGATCGTAAGTAGAAGGGGATGGTTTCTCGTGGCGATCGTCTTAACGGCTATTTTATCACCCGACACGAATTCTCCGTTGAACGTCGTGTTCACTTTAACTGCGATATCGGCCCATGACGTCGCGCACGCGACGGAGCACGGTGTCAAATTAATCCTAAGTTTTTTACCAAGTTTTTTTACCAAGTAAGTATGCAATTAAAAAAGTTAAAATCAAAATAACAAAAACTTGGCGTGCTCTCGTCGTATCACATAATTAACATAATTTTATTTTAGTAAATATTTAAAATTAATCACATAATTCACATAATTTTATTTTAGTAAATATTTAAAATTAAGATTCGCAAATTATTTCTGCAATTGTTAATTATATATTTATAATTATAATATTTACTAATTATAACAATATGAATATTATGATACGAGGAGAGCACGCCAAGTTTTTATTATTTTGATTTTAACTTTTTTAATTGCATACTTACTTGGTAAAACTTAGGATTAATGTCGAAATTAAATGTTTATTAATGATAAATATATTATAATGCTATTCGAATCAAGTTTTTGTATGTAACTTTTCTTAGTTTTTTTAGTTCCGGATTTACTTGGTAAAACTTGATGATCTCAAAACAAATCGATTTGTTTTTCACGAGACACTTTTAAATTCAAAATTGCCGATTAATGTAATCAACATTATTAAAGGTAAAATAAAGGTTAAGTAATTTTATGACTTATTATTTATGTTTATGATAGAATTCGCAATATATTAGTGCTATTTCATATATTGTACAAATATTAATTTGAATTTGGATCATAATAATATATTTTTATATATCATATAAAGCATTGAAATCTTATTTTGAAAATTATTTTAATATTTTGTCGAAAATTTATAATACACAAAAAGCAAGATTGAATTTGTGACAAATATTTCAAACTACAAATCTCTATGAATTGCTTCAATGTACTTGGCCAGTTAATTGTTGATTTCATATTTAGTTTTGTTTTTCTTTTACGAGAACTATTTTTTTAGGGAAAATTTCTGTAAATTATTTTTAGGGATATTTTTATGAAATATATTAAATATAAATTTTTTGCGTACAAGGTGTAATATTTTTTATGTACTTGGCGTACTTTTTTTACCTTTATAAGGTTTTTTTTAGAGGGATATCACACCTTTTTGTAAAAATTATATTTTTTCTGCAAAAAATATATATGCATTTTTAGCACTTCGAGGCCAACTACACTTTTGTACTACTAAATCATTTATTAATTGCCATTCAGTACCTTTAGCACGTACAATGTTTATGTAATGTCTATCAAGTATATTTTTACCTTCATGAAAAATTCCACTAATGACTTTATATGTATTTCCACCAATATATATCTTTTCCGTAGGTACAGCTTTAATTTTTAAATCTGTTATTTTAATAATTTTTTTATATCATTGTTTTTAAATAATGGTAACTGTAAGATAATAATACTTTTTGTCTCTATTATATTAGTCTTTTCAAGCAAAGAAATAGCACTACAATTGGTACATATTTTTTCAACATTATTCCAACGTGTAAAACTATATTGTATTAATTCTTGTAGAGTATATGATTTCTTTAAATTTTCAGGTAATTGAAGTAATAATATATAATTTGTATGCTTTTTTATATTTGTATAATTGCATACCTTACATCGTGAAGTTATGTTTAATTGGTTTTCAAGTACATTCTTTATATTATCTATGCTATTAATTAAATCTATAATGAACTCACTAACATCTTGCTGAAATTTTTCAATATATTTATATCCTGCTAGTTGACGTATTGCCATTATATTAATAGTTTTATCATCTGATACGTAAGAATTAATAAATTTTTTTATAATATTTGAATGTTCAAGATGAAGTAACAATTTTCTGAAAATAGGAGAATAAAGCTTAGATTGAATTGAAACATTAGCATAACAAGATATGTTATCGACATTTGGTAGTCCTTTTACATACCATAAAGTACAATCATTAATATTCTTATCATCAATTTGACATTCTAAAACATTCTTTGATAACATCCAAATAATATCACGAACCTTGCGGACACGTTGTTTCGAAATATTAATATTTAAAAGATCTGGTCGATATTGTTTTCGCAATCTATTATGTTCTATTATAGCTAATTCATTTGCTTTAGCAGAGGAAGGATCAAAATTTATGAGATGCAACCCACTCAGCGTAGTTACTCGTGAAAGAGCGACATATATTTGTCCACAACTAAATATAGAATTTCCAGCTTCCACAACCGCATGTTTTAAACTCAGACCTTGACTTTTGTGAATAGTCATAGCATAACTGAGACATATAGGAAATTGTTTTCTTATAACAAATGCTCTATCCATTACTTCGAATTTAACGCTTATGCGTTCTATAATATGCTCTATTCCTGATGACACTGTTATTTTTATCTTTTCTACTTCATTGTCTAATGCATTACGCATAATTAATGTAATTGTACCAATTGTACCATTTACAAGACCTAAACTAACATCGATATTTCTTCATTATACGTGCTCCTAATTTTATAGTTATAATTCTCGCTAAGCCAGCTGTTCGAGAACTATCTTCATCATCTTTATTTAATATCTTCATAACTTTTTTTTTAAAATATGGTGCACATTCTGTTAGATCTTGAGCAACGAGTTCTATCTCATCCGAAGAAATACGACTTAACATTGCACTATTCAAAACATCACATAATGCACAAGTTGAAATTAAACAAACTGTATCCATTGGTAAGCTTTGCAAATAATCACATAATTCTTGTAATCGACCATCACAATTAATTTCTTTAAAATTTATTTTCCTTGTTTCTAAAATACTTATATCTGAATCTGTTACTGTTCCAACACGAATTCTCGTTAATATATCTCGATAAGAATTATCATCTTGTTGTCGCACGTTAATTTGTAATTCATCATAACTAAATAAAGACCATAAATTTACAGCTCCCATTGCACCAATATATTTCTCAATTTTTAGTTTAGATAATTTAATAAATGGCGGATCCTCATGCACAGGTGGAAGTTGTAATAAATCTCCGAAAAGAAGTATATGTTTTTTGCCGAACCATCCATTATCACAATCGGTGGTATTAAATATTTCTGTTAATCGAAGATGTATATACATTAAAGTAATATTTGAAATCATTGAAACTTCATCGATAATTATTAACACAACATTCTTAAGTTCATCTCGTATAATTTTAAGTACTATATCAGAAAGTTGTTTATACTTGGCAGTATGACCATGTTCTACCGGTAATTGGAGCAATCTGTGAATAGTAAGTCCATCAATATTAAAAGCTGCTATACCAGTTGGTGCAGTTATTGCCGTGTCCTTTCCCATATACTTTTTGATCCAAAATCTAATAGTTTTTATCAAGAAACTCTTTCCACAGTACCACCCTCACCGCTTACATAAAGTCTAAAAACTTCACTATTTTCATCAAATATACCACTAGTAATTGTATCAAAGATTCGTTTTTGATCAATATTTAATTGCATTATCATTTCTTCGACGTTAACTTCATCAAATTTATTGCCAATATCTTTAAAGTCTTTCATAGCTCCTTCGACTTCGACAGGAACACATTCTAATACATCAAGACAGTTGTTTTCATCTTCATCTTTTGTAACTTCTGATATTTTTTTTTCAATTAATTCTTGGATATTATCCATACCTTGCTGAATGTCGGTTATTCTTTCATGATATTGAAGAGCATCTTTCAATTTAAATTGTATTAAAGAAAATGTTTCTGCATAACTATCACATCTATTCTTTAATTCACTAATATCTCTCCAAGGCTGAAATAATAACAATAATGAAAAATAATAGCGTTCTGGTTGAGTATGAACATTGTATTTGTAATGATTGATGAGGTATCCACGTTTACGTTTCGTTAAGTATAGAGATTCATCAAGCATGTAATACTTTCTTGTCTTAGAAATTGGTTTAGTTTTTGTATTATCATACCATTTTGCATAATCATATAAATTAGTAGATTCTAATTCTTTAGGTCTGCTTGGATAATATGTATCAATTAAAGAAGGATAAAAAATATCCACAGATTCAGAATCTAACATTTCAATCTCTTTGTGAGATTTAAGTTTTCTACTCCCATCATATTTACATCTAACCATCTTATAGTCGTTTCCTTGTCAGTACCATATAATGATATTCCTAGCAAAGTATCAGCAGCTTCAAGAGTTCCACATTTTCTATGATTTAACATACGCATTCCAATATTCCAAAGACAACTTCTTAACGATTTTGTTGAATTTATCTTTTCAAATGTATTTTCTGCGTTATTACTCTTCTCTGCTTTAGAAACATATTTCGTAGTATACCAAGTCAATAACGTAGATTTTTCACCTACAAACTGAATATCCATGTTTCCTTCCCAAGCAGTAAGAATAGCTGGATTATAATCATTAATATTAATTTCCTCTTTAGATCATGGCAAATCGTACAGTCTGCTTTTTGTTTTCATCTTTTTCTATCCGCTATTGAAACAACAACGTCTCTAAGTTTCAAAGTGTCTGTTACGGGTCGTGAAAAGCCAAATCTGCATACTTTCGAAAAACCTATTTTAGTTTTTTTGGTACGCAAATAATAATTATTATGTTTATGTTGTTGATGTGTATTTACACGTCGATGTAATTCAGGTGATAACTTTTCATTTGGCATTCTACAAGTGACATATTTTAAGATAAAAGATGAAATATCTTCATTAGATGATGTACCAATTATCGGGGCATCTTTTATCCAAATTAACAAATGAAAATGTTGCATACCTCTACCTTGATATTCACGGCGCCAAAAGTAATGAGTGACCTCTCCGATTGGATTATCAGGTGAACAAATAAAATCAAGCATAGCTTTAAA